AAGCGGGCCTTTCACTTGGATCCAAATTTTTAAATTATTTTAGCGGAATTATTTTCCTAACAGAACTTCTAGAAGGCAACTTTACATTAGTAAAGTTTAATGCTGAAAAGTGTTGGACAGCAAGTTCAGAAACACCCCATATTTGGAGCCTATGCTTAAACAAAGCCACTAAGAGAGCCTGGCATGTTTTACTTAGTGCTTTGGATTAATACTCTCCATCTTTGCTAAATATACGAGTTGTCTTGAAGAAGAGGTTGTGCACTTTTTACTAACAGAACCATCTGCTGAAATGTCCATGGAAGTTGCTAAATGCTGCTCAACTGTAACTGCCATCAGAAGCTGCAGGGTTTGTATCATAATTAGACATGCTTGCTTTGGCTATTTATTGTGGGCTTAGATGTTACAATGTTTATAATATATACTATCCCCTTTATCTTCCTAGCATGCTAATGTCTTTGTTTATGATTTCATACTGTATCTCTGTATACTTTTGGCTCATGAATATAAAATTCTACATGCATTCCTTGAAAAGCATTCTAAAGCTTCAAAAAGCTTTTCACCTGGAATGCAGATCCCATTTAATGTTGATGCTAAGTGAACCATACTGGTTCCCTACGGGTTCTGGGTGTATAATTCAAGATCCGCTTGTGTTTACTTGCAAGACAGCTTCTCTGCAATAGTTTCTGCCTGTCCCACCAGATCTGGCAGAGGGGGCACAGTCTTGATTCCCTCAGTGAGACAGAGTCATCTGGTAGGTCCTAGAAGCATTTCTTCTGTCATAGCACCTGCCTTATAGAATAGCCTCTCTCCAGAGTTATGTATGGCCTTGATCCTTCAGGCTTTTCAGAAGGCTGTGAAGATGTGGCTGTCCCCCAGTCCCCAGGTAGTGGGGACTAGGCCATTAGTTCTGGAGCTCTGGCATGCATGTAGCTAGGGGTGCCTATTGAGATTTTTATTGCAGGGGGGGGGAAGGAGTAATAGGTTTTCCTTTAGTGTTTAAGATTGATGTATTTTGTTTTGTTTGCTACACAAGGTTTCACCAGATCCAAGGGTGGGCATTGTATGTTTGATTAATAAATGATATTTACACCAGATAAGGGGCAGTTTTCCTCCATCTCCCTCAGGTTGTGCCATGCCTTCTGTCTATTTATAAAAATAACCCTTCAGATTATTTTGTGCAACAGGAACCACTGGGAACATAGAGAATGTGACCAATGCAGAGTAGAGGAGATTGTCTTTGCCCCAGTGTCTATTTCAGTGTATGTTCACCTAGGTGCCTACATAGATTAATGAAATTTCCCTCTATTCCAGGGGTGTCAAGCTGCCAGGAATAAAGGAAATAAATTGTTTAAATACAACAGTAAATTAAAATAGGGGCATTGAAACTATTTCATGAAAACAATGCCAGAAATTGTAAATCAAAGTTAACTAATATGCTGAAAGGAACAGAACTGCTTCTTTAGCCATATTCTCTAAGATTAGGAATGAGGTATGTGGTAAAAGACTAATCTTCGACTAATTCAATTCCTTAGGACTTCTGGCTTTAAAACAATGGCCAAGATCAGTGAGTTTTAACCTTCCTAGGTTACACAAATATTGTCCTGACTCACAGTTGGGTGGCTATTTTATAAAACAATCAATAAATTATGTCTATATTTAAAATGATATTCCTCTCTATATTTAGTTCAAGCGGTAAGTGGTCCTCCAGATGTCACCCCTCCTCAATCTTTGTTACTGCATTCTTAAAGGATGATTTTCCATATCCAAGTCTATAGCCTGATTATTTCCTGATAGTCTTCCATCCATGTATTTATTATTCAAGCCCAACCCTGCTTAGCTTCCAAAATCAGGCAAAGTCAGCCAGGCACCTGCTCTAATTGCTCACAAATGGTAATCAAAATAATGGGTCACATTCTGTTTCCCAGTTGTGATTTCAGCAGTAGTTGCAGGATAAAGCACATGGTGCAACCACTATATTTGGTTTACGTTTTTTATGATTTTATACTACAAGCAATTTTCCGTATGTTAATACACAAACACTGCCTTGGTGACTTTGAGCCAGTCACACTCTCTCAGCCCCAGGAAAGAGAATGCAAGGGCAAACCATTTCTGAAATTTCTGCCAAGAAAACTGCAAGACTTGCACAGGCCATTGCCAGAAGTCAAGACTGATGTGGAAGCACGTGCACTAACACACAGACCTAGAGGATGTGAAAAACTCACTGATTTGGAAACAGAATGTTTTAAAGAACTCCAAAATAGTCTGTTTCCCTCTGGAACTCTGGAATGGTATGGTCTTTTCCCAAAGGCAAATCTCCAAAATAAAGGGCATTTGAGGTCTCTCAGGGAGAGTCTGTCTCTAAAATAGATATTTTTGGTCTAAAATACAGAAAAAAGTTCCCTTAAACTGATTCCACTTTGGAGGAATTATTTCTGGAAATTGTTAAATGGCTTCTAGAACAACATGTTCTAGAGGAGATTTAACATTGGCTGGAAAGAGAATGAAATGTTCAGGGGTTTTCTAGAATGTTCCATTTTCAAATTGTTAAGTTTTGCACCTGATAGGCAGTCTGCCAGTATTCCAGGTTCTTTTTTTTCAGTACAGGAAAGAAACCTTCTGGAACACATGATGGTGAGATGACAACCTTTCCCTTTGGCAATGATGAAATGGCTTGCACTGATAAATTATTGCTGCTTTTACAACTGACAGCCAAGCAAGACATTTATACTATTCCCTAGATTAAATTTCATGTCTTTAGACAGTATGTTTCCCTCAGTGTTGCGGGAGCAACAAACACTTAGAAAAACTAAACAATTGGTACAAATAGAAAGAAAAATGAAGTGTCTGCTAAACTATGTCTTTACATGAATAATGTAAAGATAATTTATATGGAACGCCTGTGTTTAATGTGAATATTACATTTGGTGTAGATAACAGAGAACAACAGCATTATCCATATTTGAAAATACCGCTTACACATGTGTTTTAGAGCAGGGGTCCCCAACCTTTCAGGGTTGACAGCCCAGGTGGAGGCGCCTCTATGCGTGCGAGCACGCGCATGCGCAAATGGGGCCACACACAAACAGAGCCATGATTGCGCCCGTGATGCAAATGGTGCCACAGATGCCCATTGTCATGCCTCCATCCGAGCCTGACTCCAAGGAAGACATGGAGTTAGAGCAGGACTCTGTTGAGGAGCAGGCTGAGGCAGGCCAGGGCCCTTCAGGTTTGGAACAGGGAAGGCCGAGTTCAGGCGAGGAGCAAGCCCCCCCACCTGATCCTAGAGCAAGGAGAGCAGAGAGGAGGAGAGAACAACGGAGGCAGGCTCAATTGCTCGGGAGGAGAGCGTCCCGCCCCACTCCACAAGGCACACCTGGGGATTAAGATTTAAGGAGATGCTGTGGGGTGGGGCATTTGCCAGGAACAAATGTGGTATCTTGAGATAGTTGTGAATTGTGCTCTTGTCTTTGTTTAACCTGGACACTTTGAATTCACGACCACAGACTGCATTTCTGAGTCTCTCCTTGCAGTCTGCAGGCCAGCTGAGAGTTAAAAGGACTCATTACATTTTTGTTTTGTTTTCTTGTTATCTATCTTGCCTTGAGGACATTGTAAACTTCTCCGGCTGTACTGAAATTGCCTTTAACCAGAGGCAGCTGAAAGGAACGTGTGTGTGTTTGCTTTGGTTGAACTCTTGCCAGCATATGTGGGAGCTTTTGGGGAACATTGGCAGTGCTTAAAGGATTGTTTCTCTTGCCAGCCGACTGCTTTGTCTCCATTCGGGGCCCTGGGTCATCACACCCATGCAATGCTCGGGTGACGCTAGCGCCCGCGCAATGCCACAATGCTAACATGAGTGGAGATGTTGCTCTTGCCATGATGATAGCGCCGCCATGACACCGCAACACTAGCATGAGTGGGGGGATGCATTCGTGGCAATGCTAGTGCCTGCCCGATGCTCATGGCATTGCTAGCGCCCATGCGATGCTGTGATGCTAGAGCGAGGGGGTGCGAGTGCGCACATATGTGCGCACTAGCCAGCCACTCACATGGCCCAGTGGCCAACCAGCCCCTGGCCCAGTAGTGGGCCACGGACCACAGTTGGTGACCCCTGTTTTAGAGTAGTCATATCTATAAGGAGTGCAGAAGTGTAACACTGGCAACGTTAGCTCTTCACTGAATTGAAGGAGCTGGAAAGCAATGTAAATGTATCACAGGCAAGTACAATGATAAAATTCAGGCAGTTGGAAAAGCAAACATTCATAAAATGGCATACCAATCCAAGGCACATGCAGAAAAGCCAGCAGTGTGAAACTTAAAACAAATTCACAGACCATTTTATACACTGTGGTGTGAAATGCAAGTTTAATTTAATGGCTTACCCACTAAGTACACCAAGTACCAGGTTAAGTACGAAAAATGAGCCCAGAATGATAAGACTAACAAAATAGATCCATGGCCATTCACATCCTATTGCATCATTTACCTGTAAAATGTAAGGAAACATGTTATGATTCAGCTGTTCACTATATAGCAGAGTCCTTTCACAATTGACAGATCACATAGGTATTGAGTGTATTAGCACCATCTCCTCTTTTTAGCAGCACACTGCTTCAGCATTTACCAGATTTACCACCACTCTAACGCTTACTCATGACGTGTACGATTCCACTTATTTAGTCATGGAAATTACATAACTTTTTGTATCCTTATGTCATGTGGAAATATACAATTCTATTCTACTTATTTTATTTGTACAGACCAATTAATTTCTATTTAACTGTATTTTTCATATCTAATGCTATACTTATATTTAAATTGATTTATTGGGGCTTTCTTTGTTTTTAGAAAATAGCTTTGGATTTGATCTTAAGGAAGCTCTGGTCCGCCATGAAAATCTTATTCTCAATTCTTTAGATTTAATCTCTATTCTCTACCTATGTGTTCACGGCAACTGAAATATGGACTCTGCTTCTAGGATGAAAAAGGTGTGTGCTTACCCGCTCAATACACCGAGAACAAGATTTAGAACGAAAAATGACCCAAAGATGACGAGACTGACAAAATACACCCATGGCAATTCAAATCCCATAGCATCATTCATCTGTAAGAAATAAGACGACCTTGTAGAAACATTTGCTTCTATTTGCAATAGTGATCAGTTGGTGACCAAAACACATGCATGTGAAATAAATACAGTCACTTTTATAATTATCAGATATAAGAGGGGAAAGAAGATTAAAATCACCCATCATTTTCTCTTCAGATGTATATTTAGAAATATCAGGGAAAAATACAAAAGCACCAGTATTCCATACATCTTATATAATAATTTTTTACACACAAAAATGAATAGACAGAACTGAGTGGCAATATATACAGTAAAAGGAAGCTTCTAGTTGTTGCTAGAGAAAAACAGTTAAATGTAGCTCTTGCAAAGTCAAAAAGGGTAGAATAGAATTGAGTTATTAAAATTAAAGGATGGCATAGAGGAGGGGGGAATCAGAATATGGGTAATATCCAACATTTAAGCAAGTGCACTTCCACTTATGCAATCAGACAGTGTGAGCCCTGCATAGATACTAAGGGATTCCCAATTCTCACAAGCAAGATAATACAAGAAGGAACATTTATTATGAATTAGTACACTCCATCAGTGCAATGACAACACTGAATTCAATTCCAATTATTTAAATATGAAGTCTCGATGTTCCACTCCTTTCTTTTTTCTGTGCATCAATTCAAAACCAGGAATTTCTCTGTCTCTGCCTCTGTCTCTCTGTCTCTCTCTCTCTCACACACACACAAACACACAAAACAAACAAATACTGATTGTCCAAAGGAGAGATCAGGATATAATGGAGAAAGCTTTGCTGTTGAGTCAAAGTATTATCATTCTACCATCAATTCTCTTTTAATTTGCAAAGATGTATTGTGGAAAACCATGCATAGAAATTTAAAAAAATTACCAAATGCAGTTTTATAAACAACTCCTTAAAAACTTTACTGTATACTCAGATAAATGAGTACAGTATTTAAATTCACTGGTCTGCAGAGAGAAAGCCTCAGAAATGAAAGTAGCTAAATTTTACCAGAATTGGGTCACTAATAAAGGAAAATTAAGTTGTGAGTATTAATTGGCTCCAGTTTCCAAGATACAGCTTCAGGTCAAAATTGCATCAAAATAATTCAAAATTACGAGGGGGATAACTTTTCTGCAAAATGTGATATAGCACATTTTGCTGCCACACCAATCATTATAAATTTATCTTTTTATTGATACCAATAACCTAACTTTCCATTCATTTATTGATTTTTCATGACATCACTCTGCAAGAGGTTCCACTGTTGTAATCTGGAGCCCAAAAGCTCTGCCTTACTCTAAGGCAATTCCAAATCCCTGACCAGGTCATTTAGTTCACTCTGTGAAATTACATGTGGTTCAGGAGGAATATATGGTGGGCTAAAGTTTGGGTCCACTGACATCGACGGCTGCATCCTCTCATCGTCTTTATCATCATCTGAGTCTAGAGAGTAGGATTCTGGTGGATCTGGAATTGGCAAATCCTCACCATGGAGAACAGAACGCAGTTCGGATAGAATGTATGGATATTCCACAGTCCACTTCTTTCCTGAGATCCCTTTTACAACTGGGGGAACCATGCAAAAATAGCAGTCACTGCTATGATTGGTGGTTTCTCTCCATACCATTGGGACTGCGAAAGGCATGGATTGTATCTTCTTGCTTAGCCAATGAGGCAGATAAGTTGCACATGTAATGCAATAATAATGAGGGGCGCAACTCTTGTCCTGATTTCCAATTTGCATCCAAAATATAGGTGATATGCCTCTTTTTTTTTTACCACAGCCGTCATACTACCTTTTTGAGACACAAATGTAACCTTGCCATAAATGTAGCAGAATGTATCTGCATTGTTTATACAGTTTCAAGGTATCTTGGCTTTTGAGGGAAAATATCATGCAACTGTTCCTCGGAAATGTTAGGCAATAACACTTTCACAAGCCACCAGATGCATAGATCTGACCAAGACAAATGTATATATGATGCATAGATCTGACCAAGACATATGTAATAACAGAACAATAAATTACAGTTGGGTAATAATCTTTAGTCTCAAAGTGAAGATAAATTTATATACTTCCATGTGGAACCGTTTTCATTGTTCTATCGTACTTTGTTGAGAAGTTACGAGGCATCATCATGATCATTAGATACCTGCCTCCCTTGTAGGCAAATATACCCGCCTGTGTACAAATCTTTATTGTGAAATATCTTGAAAACTTTAGCCAACCAGCATCTTTATCACTGTTTTCTAATTCGTCTAATCAAAATATGTAAGAACTGACACATTTTATCTCGGAGATCAATAATTTCCCAAAATTTGCAGACCAGTGATTTAATAGATAGTCAGAAACACATTTGTGAAAAGTAAATTGTATGAAATAGATAATTAATCAGGATAACTTTTGTTAATGTTATGGCAACCATTTCGTATAATTGAGGTTTAGATGATAATAACAGAAAGTCACATTGTTAGAATATGTACATAGATGTTTAATATTTCTAAGACAGTTCTTGCTGTTACAATAGCAAAGAAAGAAAACTATATACATTTAGGATAGGTCAGTGAAAGTTACCTTAATTTAGTTTTAGGACTAAGTCCAAAATCAGTTCCCCAACTCCCACATAACTTTGCATCTGTTTTTAAAAGGCATACATACATACATACATACATACATACATACATACATACACACATGCACACATACAAGCTAGGAAGAAAATACATTTGGAGGAATGGGGGTGGTCAATATGAAAGAGCACTTTGTTTTTGTGTGTGTGCTTAATGATGAAGTGATGAAAGAAAAAAAAGTTCAGATGTACAATAACTCAGATTCCAAAAAAGAGAAAGATAGATGGACACATTGCACGGGTAAGAGAAATCTCTTGTTAATATCCTAAAATATGTTAATGTAATAAAAATTACATATTATTGAAACAATTTTAGAAGCCTCGCTTTTCCTCTTCCTCAGGAAGAATGCAAGGAATCATTGTATTTTTTTCTCCAGACTTTCTATCTGCCTGGAAGGTTTCATGGTTAAAAAAAAACTTTTAAAGTTTTGCTTTTTGTTTAACTAATTTTCTAACGACATTTCATTAAAAACAAAGAATCATAGAATCATAGGGCTGGACGGGTCTTTGGAAATCTCCTAGTCTAAACCCCTGCTCAAGGCAGGAGACCTTTTTGCATCCAATCTTTTCTTAAAGACCCCCAGCAATGGAGCTCCCACAATTTCGGAAGGCAAACTGTTCCATTGATTAATTGTTCTTACTGTCAGGAAATTTCTCCTTAGTTCCAGATTGGAATGATCTTTCACCCGTTATTTCCTGTCCTGCCCTTAGATGCTTTGGAGAAAAAGTCTATCCCCTCTTCTCTGATAGCCCCTCAAGTACTGGAGCTACCGGTATCATGTCACTCTAATCCTTCTCTTCACAAGGCTAGATATACCTAGTTCCCTTAAATGTTCATCACACAGTTTAGCCTCCAGACCCTTATCACCTCTGTTGTTCTTCTCTGCACTCTTTCTAGAGTCTTAGCATCTTTTTTTAATGTGGCAATCAGAACTGGATGTAGTATCCCAAGTGAGATTTCATTAGTGTAGTATAGAATGGAACTCTCATGTCTCATTATCTTGATGATATCCCTCTATTGATACAGCCAGTGGTGGGATTCAAATACTTGAACAACCGGTTCTCTTATTGGATGCAGGCCTGGGGCTCCAAGGCCTAGAATGGACTTCCGGAAGTGGCATCCATGCACTTTGAGCGGGTTGTTCTAGGACTGGGAGGCCTCCTCCAGGGCTCTGAGGCCTAGACTGGGCTTTCAGAAGCAGTGTGCATTCAGCCGGTTCTCCAAACTCAGCAAAATTTAGCTACCGATTCTGCCGAACTGGTGCGAACCGGCTGAATCCCACCACTGGATGCAGCCTAGGACTACACTGGCTTTTTTGGCAGGTGCAGCAGCACACTGCTAGCTCATACTCAAGTGGTGGTCCACTAAGACTTCTAGACCTAGGACTCCTAGATCTCAGTTACTACTGTTGAGCCAGGTACCACTTATTCGGTACCTGTACATTAGGTTTTTCTTGCCTAGGTGCAGGATCTTACTTTCCTCACCACTGAACTGCATCTTGTTGGTAGGGGTGCAATGCTCAAATCTGTCAAGATCCTTCTAAATCCTGAATCTAATTTCCAAAGAATTGGCAATTCTCCCCCAGCTTGTTGTCATCTGCAGTTTTGATGAGTTCCCCTTCTATTCCCTCATCTAGAGAATTTATGAAGATGTTGGAAGAGCGCTGGGCCATAACCTTGAGGTACACCAGTGCATGTTTTTCTCTATTACCACCACTACCACCTCCAAATCCTTCAAAAGCCCTTCAAAGACACAACAGTCCTCTTCTAACTTGCCATCTTAGCAAAACTGAAGACAAAACTCATTGCCTGCCGTAAGTTTCCAAGAATTTTAGAGAAATACAAATCATATCACCGCACTCTTTGTGAAGAAGGGATACTTTTAAATCTTACACACAAACATTCCATCTACATCTTTATATTATGCTGTCCAAATTTATCTGGTTCTATTCAAAGGATTCTCAGTGACTTCCGCAATGGAGAATCTGCAAAGATGCCACGCTTTCTTTTCCCAGGAGCTAGGAGACCTGCCTGCATTTGGGGAAATAGACAGTCCACAATTCCATGCAGCCGCAGCATTAAAAAAAAATAAAGTTTTTTTCATTTTTTCATTGGATTCAAATACCACAGCACAGCTGTGCCAGAAATAAAATGGCCAGCTCTTGAATATAGGCAGTATTATCACAGGAATCTGAAGATGCTTTAGAACTAGTAGTACTCTTAGTCCACCTAGTAATACAATTTGTATTACATCATTTTTTGAGAACAATTCCCAAAATATTTCATTTCCAGAATAGCCTTATGCCAGTTTGTTTGTGTGTGTATCGTTCACAAGATTCTTTCTTATGTCAGTCTCTCAATAACTTATCAATGAAAATTGTATTCATTCA